GCTACCAAACCCAGGAAGATGAAACAAGTGAGATTTAATCCTACCCTTGAACACATACGAAACTTGTGCTATTTCCTCACAGGTATGTACAGTGTGAGCACAAGCTGATGCTTGTTCTAAAGGAACACATGGAAAATTACCTCAGGGTGGGGATTGCCACTGCTGAACTTTTCCCTTGCCAGTGAGGCTTGGCCCAATATCCTGCTCTTCTGCTGGTTATCCACCTCTCCCCACAGCTCCCCTCAGACTTACTCACTGGCCTCACGTATATAACTCCAAGCCACGCAGCCCCTTTTGTCTCTGTAATTATTCTTCCACATCGTTTTTATCTCAAAGTGCAATTTCTAAGTATAGCAGCAGCGGAACAAGAAAGTGCAATATTGTCCTACTGTAAAATTATAAAGGAAGTATAAATTTAAGCCTTTCAAACTTGTCTCTCTCTTTACTTCTTCACATCTGGTATTACACATAAGATTTGGTGAAACTTTTTTTATGAACTCACTATTCTGCTTCCTACACAAATACAGACTTTGAATTCTGTCTTCCCTTCCCAAAATTTTAAATAACCCATTGTTAAAATAAACAAGTAAACAAAGAAGTTACTCATTTTTCCAAGACAAATAGTCTGTTTATCCCAGTAAGAGTTTATTCCAATAAGGGGTTAAAGGACATATAGCTGTATCTAATGTTGCAAGCCACAATATTCACATCCTAAACACTTGACTTCCAAGCACAAAGAAAAAGCAAATATGCAAAAATATGCAGCTACAGCATCATGGTATCTTCCGACTCTGCTGTGCAGAAAATAATATATTATTTTTAGAAGTTATACACCATCAACTTATTACAGCAAGTGCTAAACCAACACAATAATCACATTACAGAAATCATCTGCATCTAAAGTGCTGAATGTATTGCAATACTATAATATCAGCCCTTATCCCACAGCAAAATCTCTTAGGCACAATCTTACCATCAGCAAATTCACAAGGCTCACTTTAATGAAAATTATATCCAAGACCATAATCTGGCTTTTAATCGAAGGATAGAATTTAGCCCTTAAGTATACAACTGGGAAAAATATCATTAAGCTCGGTACCCAAATTTCCTTCATTTTCCTATACTACTAATTTAAACTGTCCCAGAATTAGGCATGGGCATAACTGCTGACCACATTAAGCCCAACAGAAGTACTAGGTGAGACCACAGATCTCCCTACCTCAGCACACCATCTGAACAGTGGATGGCCAGGAGAGCATATAAGAACAAAGCTAATATGTAGTAATACCTCCTCAGAATGCCAGGGCATAAAGCCATGCAGTGTCTTTGAATTTGGAAGAAGAATAAGAAAATACAGATTAGACAATACAGCTTCTTCTAGATGAACACCTCTTTCTGCAGAAAAACTGAATACATACAAAGCACATAAATTTTTATATAATGTTTCATTTTTAACTATGTAAAAAACAGTCTGTAATTGCAGTTTCTGTGCACAAAACTGTTTACCTGTACACATTTTCAGTAACGTTCATGATGTTGGCTTTAGAACTATGCCTTGTGATTACCTTAAAGGTTTACAGTACTGTATGACTGAAAAATTGAAAGGATCCAAACAGCACTTACTTAATTTGGGTGTCATGTATTGCATAAAAATCACATCCTTCCTTGATCAAGCCTTAAAAAGCAAACTCTGCGAATCATGTTAAGCCATAATATTGACAGGTGAAGGCCCGTTTCATAATAGTATAATGAAGCTTGGTTGGACATTGTCATTTATTTACAAACATACCAAAGGCTGTTGCATGTTCTCATGGAGTACAGCAACAGTCACCTGCAAACTCCAGATTTTTTAGATTTGCCTCTCTCAATGTATCATAAATTTTAAACACCCCAAACCTAACACCACCACTAAGCAAACCTTGCTATGTAAGACGACCGCTTCTTCTACCTCTCTATGCAGTTACAACACACTGAATCTACCCCGCCAACAGCACACTGGCTAATTGTTCTTTCTTCGGACAGAAGAAAGAGAAGGCCGTTGAAGGGAGAGAAAAGCAGAAGAAATGGGGTAACATGTACCAATACATGTATTGATAAACAGCAGTTTGAACTCTGGAGCGAGAGAAGCACAAAGCATGAGATATGTAGAAATCTGACAGACCTACGGCAGGAATCAGATTTTTTTTTCTGCTTTCTGCCTGACCTTTGGACAGGGGCAAGGGGTGTAAATAAAGACTATCAAGATCTCTGTTTACCTGGACAAGAGTTTAGGAATAGCAAATGTCAACCAGACAGTTTCTACAATACGCTGTGTCTTGAAAAAAAAAAAAAAAAAAGCCTTAATTTTTGCCCATTTCCCAAACAGAGATGTAAATCTCAAGTAGAAAGTTTCAACACAAATGGAATGAGTTGCAACAATTTCATTTTCTATTTTGTTTAATGCATCCATACAATAATGCATTTACTATATCTTCAGGGATTTGTAGTTTTCCTGTTTATTTTAATAGCAGTGGTTTCAGACCTAGAGCTCCATGTACTGAGATAAAGAGATCAAGGAACCTACATCAAAACCCACTGTACATCATGTGAATCACAGTCTTTTTTGGTCTATTATTATATTTGCCGTTCAGACATACACAGTGGTAGCTGCCCAGTGTAATGTGAAAATCTGAGCTGACTGGAGAAATAGAGGTGCAGGTGAAAACACTAAGACAGAAGTCATTTAATCAAAGCCTATTGTAGCCAGTTCCAAATGTTTCCATTGTTTAAATGAACACAATGCTATGGTCTTCCGTTGATCAAAAATAAACACGGCATACAGAAGATAGAGTCAGAAAGGAAGGAAAAGGGGGAGAGCATGACAAAGAGGTGAGAAACACAGATATGTAAGCCGTAGGTACAGCCTTTACCCAGGGCTTTCTATCTTCAGTTACAGCAAGAAACACAGTACCAGTCACCAACAGGAAAAGGACTAATATGAGCATACAAATCACAGGGAGTTGGTTGAGAAGGTAACAGTTAGAGGTGAATAACTAACTGCATCTCAGAGTACTAAAGCATCTTCTCCCCTGTGACAGGCAGAATGTGATGCTTCTGTAAGGCCTCCATGTTTCATTCAAAACACACTGTTTTATCCAAGACCAGTGCTGAAGCTGACCTGGCCCTCTGACTCAGGCTAATGCATGCTCATACGAGCAGCTTAAATGTCAAAGATGAAGACTAGCCGCAAAGAAATTACAATTAGCAGCTGAGGAAAGTTAAGAGCGTAAGATCTTCCCTAGTAAGTCTGCAGTGAGAAAGGGGGTCTATTTCTAACTCACCTGTAGTGCCAGATTATGAATGTAAATTAGGTATTAAAGTAAGCATGTTGGAAAAAAAAAAAAAAAAAAACAAAAAACCCCAATGAAAATGTTGCATGGTGCACAAAGGCTTCTTACAATATTTCCCACATTAAAACATCAGAAAAAGGTATTTCTGTCAACAAAAGTCTTACTCTGTGGATGTGTGAAGTAAACTTGAATAGGTAATATTTCAAACTAGCAGCGCTACCAGTAAATACTGCCTGCTCCCAGCAATGACCCAAGTATTAAAACTTTGCGACACTATGTTTTATGTGATCCTGCACAGTCTTGAAATTTAAATGCTGAGGAGATAGAAAGCAGTGATCTGCATGCCACCAGTGCAACCGTATCCAGAAACACTGTGGCAGACTTCTACCAAAAGTAACCTGAGCTTTTATGCTGGGTTTATGAACTCCATTTATGCTCCATTGCCAATACACAATTTCTAAGCAATCCTTTGAAAAAGTAACACAGAGTAAATGAAGTGGAACTCTTTTGTACTTAAAGGCGGAACACATAAGAAATTTCTTTCACAAGAACTGCCAGTCATAAACCTACTGGTCATCTTTCATGGCAGTGTATTACTGCACTTGCTTAGGTCTCACACATTTACTCTGCTTCCCCCTACACTCTTGTCCCTCTCACTAGCCTACTGATTTATTTTCCATTCTATACCTCAGTGACTCTTTTCTCTGTACAATTAACTTAATAAATTCTTAACTAACTCATTTTGTCAAGCATATCCTATCTAATATTCTTAAAAAAAATAAACATATAAACTAAACAAAGGATATGTTACAGTAAAAGGTGTATCAAAGGAATGGGTAAAAGGGAAAGAGAAGCATTTCAATTAAATTGGGACAATGCAGACTGAAGATTCAATTTTCTACAAAATTACCTTAATCAAACGCTTAGGATTTCATAGCATAATTAAATTAGCAGTTCTCACTATGGCTCACATAAGGATAACATATCTAAGACATTTCAGTAACTGACAAAATATGCCACTTCTAAAATATGTATTAAGCATTTGCATAACATCTGATATGGCTCTAATTTCAACGTTATTAAAAACACACATACAATCATGTTATACAAAAACCAGACATACCCACAACTATAAGAAATAACAGCTTACTATGGTTTCCAATGGAAAAGCAGAAAGTTTCCCATGGCTTGTTTTCTTTAGGCAAGGAATGAAAGTAACCTAATTCATCTAACCTGAAGAAACATCACCTTGGCTAGATGCAAGCAAACACAACTTTTGCCAATGTTGTTGTCTTATCAATAAATATTTGTCATCTTCCACTCACCCCTCTTCCCTCCTAAATTAGTCACCATCTGCTTAATCTCAATTGAGATCTCCATATTTCACCTACTGCAAAGATGAATGTTGGGTATAAGCAGAGCGTTTGGGAGGCAAGGCAATCTCTGCTGCAGGATAATAGGAAAAATGTCTCTACATGGTTACAAGTATTTGCTTTTCACCACTTATTCAGAGTAAAGCAGCAAAAAAGTTCAGGTCATTTCCTGACTGGCACAGCAAGTTATAGCAAGATACACATTCTATTAATTTTTAATTGCATTGCTTGCAGACTGAAAGCCCAAAAGGGGAGCGTTTCTTTTTAAAGCATAAAGAAGGGCACTGAAACTGCTTACCTCACTCAGCTCTGCAGGGGAGTCATTTCCATATTTCATAGCAACTCCAGAATTCATGATTAGACTTCTCAGGGCTTGATGATTTCTGCAGATTTTAATGCTTCAAAGCTGTGTTCAACTGATTCAGTACTTTCTTCTCCAAAAATTTTCCACCTTACACATTTTGCTCTAGACAGCCATTTTTACTCCACATTGATAGTTTAAATTAATGATGCAAGACCTTCTAAAAGAGCCAAACTGGTTTTGACTTCACAGACAATCCATTGCTGTGAGAGACTTACTAAGACTGTGAAGTGCTCAGAGAATGCAGGGAAGGATCTGCTTGCCAGGATCCCAGGGCTGTCTTAGTCCATCTGCAAGGCGTGCTTCATCTCTGCTGTCTGTTTTATGCTCCTCTTCTCCACAACTCTGTTTAAGGGCATCTCCCGGTGCTGCTTAACGTGCTCAGAAAAATGTGATGAGCTTCACTCAAGTTCACAGAGAAATTAAAAGAAGAGTGCTGCTACAGTCTTCAGTGTTCGGGGAGAGAGAAGGGAAAAGAGAATAAAGCTCCCCTCCCCGAGACAAACCAATGCTGCACTTCACGCTAAAGTTTCCCCTGCCAGTGAGCCTGGAGTTTAAGTGGTTTATGATCAAACACAGCTGTCTTGCTGCTGGCTAAAGGGTGCATGGAAGGGGTGGTACTAAAAGGAGAGTGTAAGTGGGAGGGAGAGAGCTACAGAGAGTTCATTTTGGAACTAGAGGCATCTTTCCAGCTTTCTGCATGCTAATTACTATACACAAAACTATAAAGCTAAGTAACAGGAAATGCCACCTGGAGAACAATAATTCGGATCCCTGTTTCCTTATTCCCATGTGCAATTAAAGAAAGTTGGGGAGCTTTTGGGGGGTGGGGGTTGTAAGGATTTCAAAGGTCATAGTAAGCCCAAAAGTGCCATTATAAAGCTGAAGATTTTACATAACATGCCGACTTTCAACAAAGACTTTGGGGTGATACTACCAGAAGAAGCGGAGAAAAAAGGCTTTGTTTTCAACGTTCAATAATCTAGAGAAATCCTTAACAAGATGGATTTGTGAACATGCTGCACTCATTGCAAGAAGTGACAACCTCCTTTCCCCTTCCTTCCATTCCCTAAAACAGTGACAGCATCACACACTTCGTGATGCTGAATTATGATGTACTTTTGGAACTACAAATAGAAAATACCATACTGCATCTGCAATTTAGCTGATCATCTTAGTACAATGTATTATTAAGTGACAAATGAGTTCAAGGGAAAAAAAAAAAAAAACCAAAAAAACAAAACAACCAAAAACCAACACATGAGAAACAGGAATAAATGCTATACAAGGTCTGGCACAATTCCTGCACACTGGCAAAAACATTTACATGGGAAACAATGCTCTCCAAGAGCAACACTTTGAAAATAACCTTGTGGTATCTTTTTTTCTCCTCTGTTAATCACAGATTAATATCAGTTTGCGGACATAGGGGTAATTTATCCAAATGACAGTAGAGAAAATGCATTAAGAAAAACGCCTGAGATAAACACATACATATCGCTCTATGATACTAAAAAGCAGTAGCACTTTCTGGGTCCCTGTCCCTCCTCCGTGCTCAGCGTCAGGAACTGCAACTCTCCTCCGGCTCAGGGGGGTAAGGGGAATGCCACAATCTCTTTACAACAGTTTTTACTTTCATCCTCCAGGTCTATTTTCCAGCCTTCCCTTTCCCGTATCTCTCCTCTTCCCCGGCTCGCTCTCTAGCGGTCCGTATTTTTGGGTTCCCCTTACTCTCTCCTGCGCTGCCTCCGCTCTTCGTTATTTTCTCGCTGCAGAACACCCTCCCTTCTCCGCCCCACCTTCACGCCGGGTTCTGTCCCCGCTTTTAGCGCTCCCCCCACCCCCCGCGGGTCCCGGCGGCTCCCGGCGCGCGGGCGGCACCGCCCCCTGCCGGCGGGCGGCTGCTCTCTCGGCCACGCGAGGGGCGCCGCGCCGCGGGCAAAGCGCGCACAGCCCCCCCCCCCGTTTTTTTTTTGTTTGTTGTTTTTTTTTTTTTTTTGGAGGGGGGGGGGGGGGTGGGGGCGGTGTGGCGGGGGCAGCCGCGAAGGTGCCGATGCCTCCGGGCTGCGGAGCGCAGCGGAGCGCAGCGTAGCACAGCGCTGCAGTCCTGCGCGCTGACCCCCCGTGCGTTACACCCCGGAACAAAGGGACGCGGTGACGACTCGCCTCATTTCTCATGCGTGAGAAGAAAACCGCCTGCAGCTCAAAAAGTCCGGCAGCTGACGCGGTACATTTTACTTTTCCAAGTTATGTCTTCACAAATGGGAGGGTGGCAAGGTTTTGTATTTTGCATCACCACACCTATCAACTTTCATATTCCCTCTCCTTGTCTGCTTAGCATCTGCTCTGATCTGATCTTTGTCCAGTTCCCTCACTTGTATCGCAGGTTCACCCACGCAGGGCTGAGACTCAGAATTACTTAAGAATAAAGTTCTATGGTTTTCCTTTTCTAAAGGAAAAGCCAGATTAATTACAGCTTCAATATACTGCATTTCCCATACTATATTCCTATACTGCCAAATACTTCTCAGCCGACTATAAACAGGCATTTAGAAACTAAAAGTTTTGATCTGCTTTCCTCGCTCTCCGTTGCTGTCCATTCCAGGCAGACTAGCTGTCACAGACCACAGCACATGGTGCTACAGATGCATCCCAAGCATAATGGTGTAGGACACTTGAGGATCTGAACGAGATCCACTCCATACCCATATGCTGCACAGGATTTTTTTTCTGCCTCCTTCCTACTCCATACAGGGTGGAAAGAGGTATCTACTGAAAAATAACAGCAGAAATCAGAGTTTCAGACGTGCACAAGAACACGAGAGATATGCGCAGGTACTTTTGGAACAAAGTTTATTTAAAATTTAAAAATTATTTGTAACTCAAATGTGCAGATTAATGAAACAGTTAAACCCAACTCTGATGAAAAATTATTTTACTTTAACCCCAGCTGACTCCCACTGCAATATCTGCATGCTTGCACTGAGTGGTACGGGAAAGCATCAACTGTTACTTTTAAGTAATCCGTAAGTACTGGCACTGCTTGTTTCAATGCCCTTATAAACTTTGCAGGCATTTTTTCACTATGGAGGGCAAGCTAAGACTAAATGTATTCATTCTTCTACAATAATTACTAGTATATCACCTTTCTTAAATACTCGGTAGCATCAAGAACATATTCTGAATACCTGAAGATGTAGAACTTGTTCCTCTGTGAAGTGTCGTATTATCTAGCATTCCTACAAGTCCATTTATGAACTGAACAGAAACATTACATCACAAAATTAAATTCCCAGGTAGACCTGACCAATTGTCTCCAGGCAGTTTCACTGTTTTCAAATACAAGTAAATGATCTAATACAGTAGCAGGGTATTAAGAACTTTGTTGAAGCTGAACTATATTTTCCCATTGGCTTGTGGAAAAGGCAGGCTTCAAAGAAAACAAAAGAAAATCTCAAGTATGCCAATTTTGCGTTGTCAGGAAAAGAACAGAGCACCCTGTGATTCAGCAGGAGAGAGGTGCCTGCTGGACTCAGTCCCTCTGTTTCTGTTTGGCAGCTGACTGTTCATTCCCTCTCTCCCTGACTCAGTTCCTCGCCTAGGATAGTGATGTTCCCTTGCCCTCAACCTTTTTTCTGTCTTCTTTAGCCTCTGCAGTCTGGGGGCAGGGGTAGGTGTGTGTGGGGGCGTGGTGTGGGAATGGAAAGAGGAATCTCTTAACCTACAGATGTACATTTCTCAGCCCAAAAGGACACAGTCTCAGTGGATGCCTCAGTGTATGTGTACTTGGCAAACAAGAAGGGAGAAATAAGAAGCTGGACAAACCTGTCACCAACACTTTCAGAAACAACACCCACCTGACATGTTTGGCCCAGGCAGAGGCACGGGGCTGGGCTTCCACTCAGTCTCAGTGCATTCTGATCAATTACTGCTTTCCGTACCTCTAAAGCACTCATGACGCATAACGCTTGTAGGTAAGTACATTGGCACTAACAGATTCTTCCCAAGATAATTTCAGAATTATCCAGTAACAACCATTAGTGTGGCCAGTTTGCTAATTGTTGATCTAACAATCCTATGGCTACTCTATTCCATTTGTTTACTCTTATCAAACTGTAGTAGAAGAATCATTGATGTGTATCTGAGATTCACTGAGGAGTAGAAGACACCTTCTGATTGCATCTGAATAATCATTTAATAAAATTTACTCTATCACTTGGTGTAAAAGGATTCTTTCGGGATAAGATACAACTCCCTTGCCCTTCTCACCTTTACTTTTAAAACCGACACAGAATATTGAAAAAATTAGCACTGTAGTTATTTTACAATGTTTCTTGCTCATAGTATGTCTCAGTAATTACAACACTCTATGTTTCTTAACAGTTATTGGAGCAGGTGTGACAACTGCTACACATGAATGTTCCTTCTTTGTTTTGACAGATGAAGAGTGAAAACTACAGCATAAAACCAATTATCTATTAAATACATATGTATCACATACTTCAGCATAGTGTGTACCACTTTCTGAGAAAGAGTTTCACTCTGCGTACAACATTCACGATTAGCTGATAGCAATTCCAGGATGTACAAAATAAGGCCTTCTTGGTTCGCTCTGTTTAATTAGCTTTGTAGTTGAAATGCAACTAACTGAAGTCCACTGAGCATTTAGTTCGTGTTTGCTTGTTTCAGTATTGCCTCTACAGTTAGAGCAGCACACTGCACAGTTCCACACACAAATAAATTACGCCTTCAAATACTGCAAATCTACTACACACAATTTGAGTACAACATGGTTTTGTTCTCATTCTGGCACAAAATACACAGGTGTAGTGCCAAAGTTTATATCTCCATGGACAAAATAGTAGCACTCAGAAGGTTAGCATGAAGGCTAAACTTGGAAGTGGAAATTCAATACAGTAGTTGGATAATGTTTCCAGAAAATTCTTTATTCAATAGCACTAATGCACTATGATTTAAAAGGGAGAGGCTGAAAGGGATGGTACGTTCTTCTTGATGCAAACTGTTCTCATTAATGCTAGCGAATGTTATGCACCTAGGTTGAGAGAAAGAAATCCAACTCATTTGAAACAATTGCAAGTAACCTTATACTGAAGAATGAAGCACTCTGAAGAAAATAGAAGAAAACTTCTCTTCTTTCCTTCAATCACACTATCTCAATTAGTCTAAAACAGATAACATGTCTAGAATAAAGTAATTTCCAAATAGCACTTCAATCAGCTCCTCTTACCTGTTCACCCTTCCTTAAATACTTAATCCACTTAAAAAGTCATGTCCTTGACCTAACCAGTCTCCTTGGGAGTTCACATTTGATCCCTTTTCCACCCTCCAGTATTTCATGCCATGAAGCCACTCAGCAGCCTGTCAAACAGCCACTCTCATTTTCTGTCATTTCATCCAAAGCCATCACATTCATTTTGATTCCCTCTGACCCAACAGAGCTTTAGCATCAGGTCAGGACAGGAAAAGGACCGGGGAGTCGATATGTGCCTGTTATTCATGTCAGAGAGCTGTCTGTGAGGACAACAGGGAGAGACAGTAGCAATTTCTATGCTCCTTTCATGTCGCAGCCAACTAATTATCATCACTGTTCATTTGCTCCTTCCTTAAAAACACAAACAAGGCCATTCTGTAAACTACAATTCATACCATCATATTTCTGCTTAGCTTCCCTTCACCATCCAGCATTCCCTCAGTTCAGTCAGGCATTGCTCCCATTATTAATCACAAGGTAA